AAAGCATTTAACAAATTCCAACACCGTTTCTTGATAAAAACTCTCAGCAAAGTGGAAATAGAGGGTTCATACCTCAACATAATAAAAGCCATATATGACAAATCTACGGCCAACATCATACTAAATGGGCAAAAACTAAAACTATTTCCTCTAAGAACAAGAACAAGACATCCCTGAACAGGGATGCCCACTCTCACCACTCCTGTTTGACATAGTACTGGAAGTGCAGACAATAAGTAGAAATAAAAGGCATCTGAATTGGAAAAGAAGTAGTAAAACTGTCATTATTCACAGATGACATGATATTGTACATAAAAAGCCCTGAAGACAGCATCATAAAACTACTAGATTTAATAAATGAATTTGGCAATGTAGCAGGATACAAAATTAACCACCCAGAAATCTATGGCTTTTTTATACACCAATAATGAACTCACAGAAAGAGAAACAAACCAAAAAAAAAACCCAATTCCACTTAACACTGCACCGAAAAACTTAAGATACCTAGGAATAAATTTAACCAAGAAGGTAAAAGACCTGTACTCGGAAAACTACAGGACATTGAAAAAAGAGATAGAGGAAGACATAAACAAATGGAAGAACATACTGTGTTCATGGATTAGTACAGAATCACCATCATTAAAATGTCCATACTACCCAAAGCAATCTATAGATTTAATGCAATCCCCATTAAAATACCAATGGCATATTTCACAGACCTAGAACAAACTCTCCAAAAATTCATTTGGAATAAAAAAAGACCCCAAATAGCTGCAGCAATCTTGAGGAAGAAGAACGAAGTTGGATCACAATACCAGGTATCAAGCTATATTACAAAGCCACTGTTCTCAAGAACAGACGTATAGACCAATGGAACCAAACAGAGAACCCAGAAATAGACCCAAACCATTATGCTCAATTAATATTTGACAATGGAGGCAAGAGCATACAATGGAGTCAAGACAGCCTCTTCAATAAATGGTGTTGGGAAAATTGGATAGATACATGCAAAAAAAAAAAAATGAAGCTAGACCGCCAACTTACACCATACACAAAAAGTAAACTCAGAATGGGTAAAGGACTTAAACATAAGACGGGAAACTAGAAAAATCTTAGAAGCATCGTATTAGGAAAATTGGAAAGATAGATGCAAAAAAATGAAACTAGACCCCCAACTTACACCATCCACAAAACTAAATTCAAAATGGGTAAAAGACTTGAACATCAGATGGGCAACCATAAAAATCTTAGAAGACTCCATAGGCAGCAAAATACCAGGCATATGTCGTAGCAATATCTTTACCGATACAGTTGCTAGGGCAATGGAAACTAAGGAGAAAATAAACAAATGGGACTACATCAAAATAGAAAGCTTCTGCATAGCAAAAGAAACCATAAACAACAAAACAAGAAAGCCTACTGCAGGGGAGAACATATTTGTCAATGTTATAACCAATGAGGGCCTAATCTCCAGAATTTATAGGAACTCATACATCTTAACGAAGATAAACAGTCCAATCAAAAAATGGGCAAAAGACTTAGACACTTTTCAAAAGTGGACATACAGAAGGCCAAGAGACATATAAAAACATGCTCAAAGTCACTGATCATCTGAGAGATGCAAATCAAAACAATAATGAGATATTATCTCACACCTGTCAGAATGTCTATCAATGACAAACGACAAGTGCTGGTGAGGATGTGGAGAAAAAGGAACCCTCCTTCACTGCTGGTGGGAATGCAGACTGGTGCAGCCACTGTAGAGAACAGTATGGAGTTTCCTTAGAAAATTAAAAATGGAACTCCCATTTGACCCAGTAATCCCACATCTAGGGATATATCACAAGAAAACAGAAATACCAGTCAGAAAGGACATCTGCACAATTTACAATAGCTAAGATTTGGGAACAAACAAAAAAAATGCTTATTTACCCCTCTATTATTTCACTGGAAACATTTTGCAAATTGAGGAAACAGGCATTTGGCCCATAATAGTCAAGTCAGAATACTTTACACACCAGATCTTATAGGAAGCCCCTAGTTAAATGAATGGCAACTGTCAAGCAAATTGCTTTGGGAGTTATGGAGCTTAAGATAACTGTTAGCAATTTATATTAAATTGGGAGCTGGTTTAAGCCGATTATTTTCTTAACCCCTAGGGGAAAGTAACTGAATGGAAATTTTTGAGAGATGAGTAGAGGGAGAGCTAGTGATCATTTGGACATCTGTAAGATCAAGGAAGGAGAAGTGCTTAAAAGAAGATCTACTGGGACAGGGATGTAAAACCACAAAGACCATTTTATAAGGGAGCTTCCCTTGATGCAGTTCAAAATTTTGGCTTCAATTAGGCAAAAAATAAAATGAAACTTTCTAAGTCTGAAAGGTATTATGTATCACAAATGCATACTTTCTGTTTTCTCAGAAAGTAGTTCTCAAAGCTTCGCATAATCGGGTGAATATTTACCTGGAAATAAGGCTGCAGTCTTCCATCCTAAGGATCCGGAGCTGTTGGCAGCCCATCTGAAGAAACTCAAATATTTCATCAGTAAGCAGGGGACAACCAGAAATATCCAAAATGTGCAGGTAATGGCATTTTGCTGATAACACTTCCACTGCTGAGTCAGTAATCTGAACACACAGCCAAAGTAAGTACAGATTATTGTAATGAACTTCATCCCAGGGAAGAACAGTGTACTAGTCAGTTTGGGCTGCTATAACAAAATACCATAAACCAGGTAATTTTAACAATAGACATTTATTTCACCCAGTTCTGGAGGCGGAGAAGTATAAGATCAAGGTGCCCACAGATTCAGTGTGTGGTGAGGGCCCTCTTCTTGGTTTATGGATAGCTACCTTCTTGTATCCTCACATGGCAGAGAGAGAGTTCCCGTTTCTTCCTATTCTGATAATCCCATCATGGTGGCTTCACCCTATTTAATTACTTCCCAAAGCCTAACTTCCTCATACCATCACATTGGGGATGAGGATTTCAACATGAATTTTGAGAAAACACAAATATTTGGGGGGAAGGACACAAACTTTTAGTCCCTAACAAATAGGGCACTTGCAGATTCTCTTTAATCAGCCTGCCACATGGTAGGTCTATAACTCTTATGTTAGTGATATAACTGTTTTCAGACCAATAAAATACATATTTCAAGTGGCACCAACAGAATTTGTGATCTTGCTATTCTTTTTAGAGATCTCTTGTTTGGATGGGAAACTTCAACAAAATTTCCTTAGTAATAATACCTGTTACATCAATATATGTAAGTTATTAAATGCTGCAGCAGTGAGCTTTATAACATCACATGTTACAGAACTCTAAAATTAACAGAACACTAAAAGTTAACCTGTAGACAGGGTTAGATGGCTATGAGAAGGGGTCTGGACATTGCTGATGGTTTGCATGTGAAGTAGCATGGTTCTGGGAAAGGACAAGTAAGCGAGACAGACATTTGCAGGCAGCGGGAGAAAGAAGAGCAGAAGCCACAGACATTACACGAAACTCACTCAGATAAATTCTGCTAAGGGCTCCAACATCTTGAAAGTTTGCCCAGATGTTTTGCAGAAATAATTCAACTCCACTTCTTAGATTATTTCACTTAGGATCTAGCTTTTGAATTTGTAATTGAACTGAGACTTACTGAAGAATCAACTAGATTACACTCCAAGGGAATGTTTTGTCCAACTGGATTTAATTTCTTTAAATGTTTGGACATTCTAAAACATACATAAGACTTGACTTGTTTTTAACATAAAGTTGAGAGAATTATGCGGAAAAACCATTCAATTGAAATGTACACTTTTTAAGTTTGGAAAAAAAGATGTCATTGTCTAAGCATGCTCTTTTTCCAGAACATGCTCGGGACCAAGGTTTAACATTGCAACTAATTCTCACAAAAACGCCTTCAGACATTCCTATTATACTATGTGGGTCTCTGAGGATCTGATGTTATTGTGTGTATGGGGAGCCCTCAGAAATGTCGAGGAAAGGAAAGAAAAAGAGTTCATAGAAAAGTCCAGAACAGGTGGAGTTTAGAGTGCTAGGTTTTATTGATACCGGGGGAACTGAAAAGGAGTCTATCACTTCCTGTAGACCAGAAACTCAAGGCCTCCAATAACTGAGGTGTCCAGACTTATGGGGGCTGGGAACTAGAGGCAGAGAGGACTGGCTACATTCTTAACTCCCAGATACAAGGTCCTACTCTGAGTCCTGTTGAACAGAGGTTATTTAGATTTTAGTGCTGGGTAGGACAGGGTCATAGGACTGATCTAAAAAGTAAGCTAGTTGCAAGGAAAAGCTGGCCTTCCAGGAGATGGACAAGGTGACCATTCACTATTAACCTAAGGGCTTTTGGGAAACCTAATCTAGAATGATGAGCCAGACACTGAAAGTGTTTTATGGCTCATCAAAAGAAATATCGGTGGAATATATTAGACTAGACCGTAGAATATATTAGACTAGACCAGGGGTTCTCAACCTGTGGGTTGCGACCCCTTTGGCAGTCAAACGACCCTTTCACAGGGGTAACCTAAGACCATCGTGCATATCAGATATTTACATTATGATTCATAACAGTAGCAACATTACAGTTATGAAGTAGCAACGAAAATGATTTTATGGTTGGATCACAACATGAGGAACTGTATTTAAAGGGCCAGAAGGTTGAGAACCACTGGACTAAACCATAGGCCTATGGTTTTGGGTGAGGAATATTTAGATTGGCCCAAATTATGGTCACCACATTTTCTGAATCAGGATACGCATTTGACCTGCATAATTGGTAAAGCTAAACCCTTCTCCCTTACATTGAGGTTCTGAAATAATCAACCCCCCTTTCTTTTTCTCACCCTAGATCTTTGAAGTAGAGTGATTCATTTCATAATATGTTATTTGTGTAACATCCTCTTTAGTTTCTAGGCTGCAGGGCAGTGGAGTTTGGGCTGCTCCCCGTGGGCCTGAGCCTGTGAGACACCGGTGACAGGTGGAGTACACTGTAGGCTCCAGACCTGCTGATGTTGGTGGTGGACTGTTGATTTAGTATTCAAAGCTATCTCTAGTCTGCTAAATTAGTCCAGCTGTTTTCAGGCTCCCAAATTTTGTTGCTCTTGTCTCTTCTCCTGTTTTCCCTATCAACGTGGGCCCTCACCCTTCTTCTGCAGTTTTAGTAACGTTTCAAGAGGAAACAAAACTATATGTGTATACTCAATCTGCCATATTACAGAAACACAAATCTATTTCCTGACATAGAAATATGTCCATAGTATATTAAGAGAAAAAAAGTTGGTTACAATGTATTTTGGAAAATATGATTGTGTTCTTTTTAAAAAAATACAAAACACATTCTATAACTTTTTCTAATTTCTTTGTACATTCTACAAGAATAAGTATAAAATACCAACAATGGTTATGTCTGGATGGTGGTACAACAATGAATTTTTACTCTCTCCTTTATGCTTTTATATGTAATCCAAATACTTTACAATGAGCATATATTTCTTTCATAAATAGGTATCAAGAAAAAAAGTCAAACACTTGAAGTTATATTGGAACATTAACAGGCCCACCTGAGGAATTTATATACAATTATGCCTTTGTTTGACATACTCTTTACTTTCAGGGCCCATATTCAGTGAAGTTACATAGTATAACTTGTTATATTTTTGTTCAGAAGAGGTGCAAATGATTTTTGTCTGCTAGAAACTATAATTCCAAGGTTATGGATTGATTACCTTATGGGTCATTAACCAATTTCAAATCTTAGCTCAATAATCAGATCTCAACATTCTTTCTTCAGTTCCTGTAAGTGCTCAGTTCAACCAAATGCTCTAGGAACTTGCTTTACCATTTTGTTGGTTCTCTTATTTATTAATTAATTAAATAAATCTTTGACACATTTTAAATATTTGTGTGAGGATTGTTTTTAGCTTTATGAATAGTCTATTGTCACACAAATGAAATCATAAAGCTATTTCCAATTTGGGGAAAGGAAAAAAAAATCTAATGAATACCTCAGACATGGCAAAGAAAAATAAGTTCTATGGTGAGTCCACCTCTCACTTCTGCTCTGCCTGAGTTTTATGGCTCATTAAAAAGAAATATCACTTTAACAGTGCTTCAATTTGATATTTCTGAGCTCTGACTTCTGCACATACCTGTGTACAGCCAGCAATACTGAGAAATGTGAGGTTAAGGCAATAAATGGACAGTGTTGTAATAAACTCATCTGATAGTTGGGTGCAATAAGAGACATCCAACTGTTCCAAGATTTGTGAGACTCTGCAGAATACCTGCAAGAGATTCCAAAGTCAAAGGTTTTTTATTTTACTTTCCTTAGTCTTTATTGAAATGTTGTATACATATACAGCCTTCTTACCCATAGCAGTTTACCTAGTATGCATTTCAGTTCTGAAATATAGATGTGTTACATCTTGTTGGGGAAAAAAAGCCATTACATCTAAAAATAATTTACAAAAGATATTCACACAGCAGCTTAATAACTTAGTAGTATTCAAATTCCTGATAATAGATTTCGGTTTTCTTGAAGTTAGCACTAATGACATTTTACCTACATAGTCAGCAATTATTAGCATTATATTCACCCAAGTGAGTGGATGAACAGAAATCTAGAGGTGAGAATTAGATGGCTAACACTCTAGGGCTGATAGTATAATATAATGGAAAGAACACAGTCTTTGGTATTAAGCAGACCTGAATTGTAATTCCATTTCCACTACCCATTAGTATAGATCTTTCTGAGCCTCATTTTCTTCTTAAAATTAGGGAAAACACAGTTGTCCTCCAGTATCCACAGGAGATTAGTTCCAGGACCCAGTGTATACCCAAATCCAGGGATGCTCCAATCCCTTAGTTGACCCTCCATATATGCGGTTCTGAATCTGCCACTTTTAACATCAACCCTCTAGAACTGTTCTGAAATGCCAAAATATTCATGTGAAATTTCTAGGGCTAGTAAAAGCCTGGAAATCATTGGGATTTATGTCAGTGGTTCTTAATTTTCATTTTCTTTTCAGTAAAAAAAGAAAGAAAGAAATCACAATAGAACTGAGTGATAATTAGCATCCACAAGGAAATAACAGTCAAAAGTTTACAACTCAGCAGTTATACAAGAGCAAAATGACCCACAAAATAAACCTGGCAGTAATTGTGAAAATATCTGAATAGGTCGAGATGAGTAGAAATTGGAAACCAAGTTGCTAATTCAAGATACTAAAACTATATTTATAAGAAAACTAGAGGCCTAGTGCATGAATCTGTGCACCTTGAAAGGAACTGTGGGCCTCGAGGCTGCAGTGGGCACAGGGGTTGGCCTCAGCCCATCCTCTGTGCCCAACCCAGCCCTACCTGCCATGGCCCCCAGTCCCCTGTCTCCTGGCAGCCCTGCTCCCACTGCCACCACTCCCATGTGCTGATGGCGCTGGCCCCACTCACACCCGCTGATGGTGCAGAGCGATTGGGCCTGGCACCTGCAGTAGGTGTGAGTGAGGCTGGCACCATCAGTGGGTGTGAGCAACAACTGCTGCCCTGATCACCCCTCAGGAACAGGGGGAGGTGGAGAAGCCCCCAGGGGCGATCGAGGCTGGCAGCCACCGCTCACACTCATTGATGGTGCTGAGTGACTGGGACCGGCAACGGGCGCCAGCAGCGGGTGTGAGTAGTGGCTCCAGTGCCAGCTGCAGGTGCAAGTGGGGCTGTTTCCAGCAGTGGGTGTGAGAGATGGCTGCTGGCCCCGATTGCCGCTCAGGAGCAGGGGGAGGTAGAGAAGCAATCAGGGTCAGCAGCTGCCGCTGTGGGTAGAGTGGGTAGAGTCCCTAGGCCTAGCCTGCAATCAGGGCCATCTTCTGTCCGCTCACCAGTCCCCAGTCCCGCCCTGCTGCTGCCCACCCCAGTTCCCCGGGGTTCCCCGTTCATCATCCAGTGATCGAAGCCTGTGGGCTGGAGGGAGGGACCAAGAGGTCTGCCTTCTGCCTGCTTGCCAGTCCCCAGTCCCACCCCGCCAACACCCACCCTGGGCCAGGGAGAGGGACCAAGAGGTCTGCCTTCCACCCATTCACCAGTCCTCAGTCCTGCCTCACCACCACCCACCCTGGTTCCCTGTTCACCATCTGGCGATCTATCAGAGCCTGCTGGCCAGGGTTGGGGGGGCGGGGAGGGACCAAGAGGTCATCCGTTCCGCTCGCTTGCCACTCACCACCGCCACTCACCCCAGGTCCCCATGGCTCCCTGTTCGTCATCTGGCCATGGGAGCCTGAGGGCCGGGGGAAGAGACCAAGACTTCTGACTTCTGCCCTCTCACCAGTCCCCAGTCCTGCCCTACTGCCACCCACCCTGGTTCCCTGTTGGCCATCTAGCAACCGGAGCCTGCAGGCTGCGGGGAGGGACTGAGAGGTGGTCAGTGCACCTCATAGCAACTGGTCAATTGATCGTTCTGGTCATTATGCCGTTATGGTTGCTGGCCTTTTATTATATAGGATAGGATACAGTAGATTCTCAATAAAAACTAGTTGGTTGATTAATCTTTGTGTGTCTTCAATGATATAAAGAGTTCTGTTTTAATAATGCAGGAATTCTTATGTTTCAAGGAGTAGGATAACATTGCTTTCTACTTAGAGAATAGATAGCCTTCAATGAACCAGAGAAAATTTAAAACAAAAAGGAATATTTAAACAATAAGAATAATTTATGAAGACATGAAACAAGCTTTAAAGGGAGATTCAAGACTCTCAGTGTCTGAAAACCCTCATTGGTGACATCTCTCAATGTCTTGGGCTGCTTGAATCAGTTATGCATTAAGCCTTCTTTGAAGTTTAACTTTCGCAGAGGTTTAAATTAAACAATAATGCAAAAATGATTAAAAAGTCTTTGATGCGTTCATGGTAGCATTGTCATCCATGGAAAATCTGAGACACAAAAATTGGTATAAGGTTTTATGCATGGCATAAATCAGTGCAGATCCGAGAAATAAGTCAGAACTTTTCCTCTCATATTCATATTTTCCTTTAAAGACATGTAAGTCATATTAAGTACTTAAGTCTACAGGCATGTTTCAACATAATCACTCATTAAATTCCATTTCTCTCCTACAGATAAGATTATTATATACTTTTCTGGCTCTAGTGGTGCAGAATCATACATGTACCAGTACAGTTGATATTCTTTTCTTGGAAAGTGGTAGGCTAAGCTTCTTCCAAGTTAAAATCCTTTATAATGAAGATGGAGAGAAAAGGCAAAAATTATCAAGTGTAGCCCAGCTTGTGAGGCTCAATGGTTGAGTATTGACCCATGTACCAAGAAATTGCCAGTTAGATTCCTGGTCAGGGCACATGTCTGGATTGCAGACTCAATCTCCAGTAGGGGGGGGGGGGGGTGCAGGAGGCAGCCGATCGATGTTTCTCTCACATCCATGTTTCTATCTCTCTATCCTTCTCCCTTCCTCTCTCTCTCAAATCAATAAAAACATATTTTTTAGAAAAATTATCAAGTTTTGCTCCCATCACACATATCACCCAATTTTGCTGTGGGTTAACAACCTTGAAGAAAACTTCCAAATCTCTTAGTTAAATAGTATTTTCCCCTGTACCTTCTGAGTCAGTAGCGGGGGGCGGCGGGGAGGGGGGAAGGAAATTAATAACTGCATTCCTAAATGGGGTATGTAGTGGAGACTGAGTTTCACTCACATTTACTGACTGTCACAATAATGTGCTTTTGCCAAAATCCTGATTTAAATCATCTTGACAGGTGGTAGTTCCCAGCCTTACAAGAGCTCACCTAATGTTGCATACTTCATGACACCATCTCTTGGCTATTTGTCTCATTAGGTCTGATTAATTCTACCACAGTACCAAGTTTTGTGGGGTTTTTTCCCCCTATTGATAATTATGGAAGTATCTTGTACCGTCAAGAAACATTTTCTATAATGAAGACTATTATAGGCTGCCTCAAAGGCTAAAACACAACTTCCACAATTTTAAGTAATAAATTAAACTCAAAACTATAATTTCTTGGGCCTCGTATATTGCTTAAGGTGTAGTGCTCCACTTCACCAAAGACAGCCTTGTTCCACTACTCATCAGAGCAGGAAGGAGTGGTGGCCTGAGCACACTGAGTTGGGAAATATGGGCCTTCCCACCAAAACCAAACTATGCAGAGCCTCTTCCCTTGGTGAGTTACATTTTCACCCTCCATGCCAGAGAATTCAGGCTGAGAAAGGCTTAGCTAAGGCCCAACCTTGGAGGACCGTGCTGCTTTTAACTATGGAGAGGTCTCTGGAAGGGGGAAAGGGCAAGGCCAAACAAATATTTCCAAAGATACTTTCATGATGAAATTTGTTACTGAATGGCGATTCGGGAAATGAACATTAGCTTTAAGCCAGCTCAAAAGTGGCTTATTTCATGAAGTTTTCCCCAATTCCTCTGGAAGAAATGCCTCTTCCAAATTCCTATATATTTTATTTCTTTTTTTGTCTTTCTCACTTTCTACTTGTACTGTAGCTATATAATTGTCTTACCTTCTACATTGACTATAGCTTCTGGAGAGCAAAGTCTTTATCTAATTTAACTTTGTGGCCCCAATATCTATGATGCAGAAGTAGTTCAATATGGGAAAGTGTCCAAAGGAATGAGAAATGCCTCTTAGCTCAGGAGTGAGGAGAATGAGCTCCCTCAGATCACTCTCAGAACACCAAGTCTGATCCTTCCTTGCACTCTGTTTAATAATTGTCGGAGGTAGAGTAGGAGGATGGTTAAGAGCAGAGCGTCTGGAGCACAGAGTAGGGTTGTTGTGAGGATTGAATGAGTTAATATGAATAAAGCAATTGAACAGTACCTGGCTCACAGTAAGCAGTCAATAAGTAGTAGCTAGTACTATTATTTTTATTCACCACTTCTCAGAGGCTATGATCGCCAAATTTCTAAAATCATGCACACCATAGTAAAAATATTTTGAGCACATACTTTCAATAAATGTATATTAGTTTACTTATAAATTATATAGACATACAACTATTTAAATATGTATTATATCTTATAAATCATATGTTGATGTCAGAAATGCCCAACCCTGTAGAGCAGTGATTCTCAACCTTCTGGCCCTTTAAATACAGTTCCTCATGTTGTGACCCAACCATAAAATTATTTTCGTTGTTACTTCATAACTGTAATGTTGCTACTGTTAAGACTCATATGTAAATATCTGATATGCAGGATGGTCTTAGGCGACCCTGGGAAAGGGCCATTTAACTGCCAAAAGGGTTGCGACCCACAGGTTGAGA